TGGAGGGGAAGGATCACCTCCCTGGACCTGCTTGTGATGCATCTGTAGATGCACGACAAGGTGCGGTTAGCCTTACTGACTGCTTCCTTGCATTGGCGGCTCATGTTCATCCTGGAGTGAGCAATGACTCCAAGATCCCTTTCTGCCACCATGTTGACAAGAAGGGTGTTTCCCAGCCTATAGGTGTGTTGCTGGTTCCTTCTCCCTAGATGCAGCACCTTGCACTTGTTTGCATTGAATTCCATCCTATTCTCATCTGCCCACCTCTGCAGCCTGTCTAGATCTGGCTGGATTCTGTCCCTCCCCTCCAGTGTGCCCACATTGCCCCACAACTTGATATCATCAGAGAATTTGGACAGTGTGCATTCCACACCCACATCACTGATGAACAGTACAGGCCCCAGGACCAAGCCTGCCCACATCCCTCCAGGTCAAAAACAACCTGTCCACCACCACTCTCTAGGTGCGACCATCTAGCCAATTTGCCACCCATCTGACTGTGTAGGCATCAATGCCACAGTCACTGAGGTTTTTTTTAAGAGAATGTGGTGGGAAACCGTATCAAAGGCCTTCTTAAAGTCCAGGAAGATGACATCTACCCCAACACCCTCATCCAGGACTTTGTGACCTGATCATAAAAGGAAACCAGGTTAGTCAGGCAGGACCTGCCCTCAATGAACCCATGTTGGTTTCCTCTGAGCATTACCTCCCCTGCTGGGCCCTTGCAGATGTGCTCCTTGATAATTTTCTCAAAGGTCTTCCCAAGGACTGAGGTAAGACTGAATGGCCTATAATTGCTGAGGTCCTCTTTTCTCCCCTTCTTGTAAATGGGGACCACGTTGACTTTTTTCCAATCCTCTGGTACCTGGCCAGTGCCCCACAAACGCTCATAGAGTTGTGCCAGGGGCCCCATTATGACCCCCGCCAATTCCCTCAGCACTCTGGGGTGAAGAGCATCTGGACCTACTGATTTAAACATGTCCAAGTACCTCCTGAAGGACTATTCCATGGACTGACAAAGCAGAGGTTGGCTTTTTTCATAACTTCATGCAATTACATTCCCATTTCAGATGATGCATATATAGTTTTATGGAAACTCATATGAAATAATGCAGCATTTTTGAAGAATGGGTTTGCAATGCATCATCTAATTTTTCCAGTAATCAGCTCCTTACATCGCGTGATCCTGATATCATTAAAGTCTGTCTGCTGCACAATGTTATTGTCAAGAAGGTACCACTGATAGAATTATGGATATGTCCATGATGTTATCTTCTTGTCTGCTTGCCACAAAAACCATATTTGCAATGACCAGCTCAGGCCTGATGCACAAGTGTAAAATATGGCTACTGGCATTGACATTTCTGGTGCTGTGCCTGTCCTGTACTCAGTACCAGGTTGAAAAACATCTTCCCTGACTGAAATCTCTCAAGACAATGAACTTGTTTGGGGGGTGCTCTGGTCTATCTTCTGGTAAAATTTCATCTTCTCTTCCACCCTAATCAGTGTTTGTTGTATACATGCTAATTAATGGTGCCTCTGGATAAGAGAAATATGCCTGTGCATCAGTCTATCACTGACGTGTTCTTGGCAGCAGTGCAACTTCCAGCCAACTTCTAGTTCTTTAACTGATCATCTTCACCAAAAGCCAGCCCTAATCTCAGTGATCTGCCTCCTCTCCACCATCCTGGTCTCACTCAAAAAAACCAATATCAATATTATAATGGTCTAGGTCTCTGATGGTTAATGCTGTCTTCTGGACAGGCTGGCTTGCTTTGAGTCTATTCTGTAAGTTGTAGCTATTCAACATGGATTCACTGAGAGACATCAGAGCTGCTTCTTTGTTCAGCATGACAAGTTGACCCCCAGATACAGCTATCTGGTCTAGTCCATATGAAGAACAGACTCTTTTTTGATTGCCCTTCAGGGTTGAATGCTTTCTAGATATAATAACAAGTAAACAAATGGACAAACTATGTAAGAGAATCTCTCTTTTCTCATATGAAAAAGCAAAACTGTGTTCCTTAAAATGAAACAATATTAATACTCTATTGCCACTGGAGGGCACTCTGACTCTTTGATTTATCTTTGTTGGATTTTGCTAGCAAGGATTCAAAATTCAATGGCATTTTTTGCTGCTGCTGCTTCTTTTAGACTTCAAGTGAAAAATCAGAAGATCATAACCAAGTAAACATTGCAATGTTTGCATATCAACCGTTACGTGACAACCTCAGTAAAACCATGTGGCATACTCTATTGCAACAAGTAAAGACAATTCCACTGTTTCAAAATGTGTTTGTGAAAACTTAAAATGGAAAGATGCATCACTTTGCTTTCATAGAGAAGCTTAGGAATACAGGAATAATTTCATTCTTTGTGTGCTTTTCTGAAAATAAATTTCACTAGGGATGATACGCCCCCTCTCCCCTTCCTCTCTTTCCCCCTGACAATGGATTAGGAACTCTTGTCATTCTTCTAATGTCAATATTATTACTTCAGTCTGGATGATAAGCCACTTTGAGAAGTGTAGGCTATAGAGGTTTGGTTTCTTACATAGCACTTGAGAGAGTGGTTCACAAGCTTCTGACCAAGAGATCTTCCTAGGAATGCACAGGTACAAGAGTGAGATCACTTTGATGAAGAGCTTAGGTATAACAATGCAGGAGGCACCCTGTAAGTCCCAGGAGCTATGAACTGTGGCTGAAATGGGGCAGGCTTTTAAAAACTTTACCTACAAACATTGAACCAGGTCCTTCCCCAACATTTGGATAATCTAGGTGTTTCATCCTTCTCTATTTAGCCTGTAACTTTATTTACTGTCAACACCCCAACTTCATTTAGGTGAATCTACACTCTCCACTGGGTATGATTACCATATCTCAATTAAGCATATAAACCAGCCAGACTGGGGGACCCAGTCCTTAAACCATGGAAACATTGCAGGTCCTCTGCGGAGGCTAAAAGATATGGTCCAAAACACATCCACTGTTGAGTGGGGAATGTACTCCTCAGGGGTTTCTAATGCACAACAAATTGGACAGCATCTTTTCTGCAGGGTCTAGCATTGTAAGATAATGGCCTTCAACACACTGGTCTACTAGCATTAGACCTTATATGGCAACATTAAGACCCTGATTAGGTGAACATAACAAAAAGCTTTGGTTTAGCAGTCACGCCCCTCCCCACTCATGGGATTTTTGAAAATGGGGGGGGGGATGCAGATGGTGAGATGCATCATCACTTATAAAACAACACATAT